TACACTACGGCTACAACTACAACTGCAGCTGCAACTGCAACATTACACTACACTTCACATACTACACTACACTACATTACACTACACTACACTGCAACTACAACTACACTACCATACACAAGACTACGCTACACTATACCATGCTACACTACACAACACTACACGACATTACAGCGCACTACACTACACTAATTACCCTACACCACGACTACAACTGCAACTGCACTTGCAAATACACTAATTACACTACATTACAGCTACAGCTCCACTACACTACAAGTACAGCTACAACTGCAACTACCACTACAACTGCACTACACCACACTACATCCAGCAGTTGTGGTAAGGTAGGTGACCACTGCAACCATTGCAACCATTCCAAAAAACACAACTCCCTGTCGGTCCATCAGTGGATTCGCTCTGCCATCCGGGGTTCACAACAACCAACCTCTCCTATAGGTTTCCTATTTTTGAAACTTCCGCCACCGCCTTGTGCGGTAGTACTGGTAATAATATCTACTGTTAATAATGACAATTGTTACCAATAGGTGTTAAATATCTAATACCAATATATGGCTATATAATCTATACATACATACAGATAAAAACTATCTATGGGAATATCAGAACATACATATTTAATTAATGCTTAAATAGCAACTTTCAATGGTTACATATCTAATTACAGAGATACTAAATATCTAATATAAATATATGACTAATCATGGAGGTATGTAAAACCTATGGATAATAATCTACGTTGTTAACCTATGATTCATAATATTCCTCTAGTCATATCTATGGTAACCATATATCTAATAACCATATGTGTAGTTCTCCATTATCTAATCAGATATCTAGTAATCTACTACGCTGAAAATACTCATAGAGATACCACATATCTAATTGTCTAATATTGACCTATGATTAATACCGGATGTGATGTGGGTATAACATTAATATCTAAATCTAAATATTGAACAGAATCTACAGAAACATCCTAGGATTTGTAAGCCCTTCCTCCTGATGGACATTTAACCATTAGAAATGGTGTTCAATCGGCATTTCATCATCCATAAAAGTGATACCCCCTTTCATCATCCATGCCGCCATGACTGGTACCCCCAAAAATAAACCAATCCACTACTGAGCCATGGTTTTTAGGCTTTCTAGAGGTGTCTTCAATTCTTGGGTACCATCCCTAGTAGCTTGGAACACCCAAATCACTAAGAACAAATCTTAGATGGCCAGCAAGAGAGCGCTGCTGGTTGGATCTGGTTAGGTGAATTTTAAAAAACCAACAGAAATAGCAACAAAAGGTTGACCCAGAAATGGAGAGGGGCAGGTACGGATCAAAAGATGTGAAACACCTGGTGAAAAAAACACCAAAAATATGTGGTAAATGGATGTTCGTCCCCCCATCTGGTCCACAGGTATTGACCCGTCGCCAATTTCAACCCATGAAAGGTGCCCAGAAAGCTGGATTTCAGCCATAAAACATCAGGGGTGGACTGACAAACACTGGAAATACCAGCAACATGGAGGTATGACTAGCCGATGACCGCATGTGATACCATATACCAGGATATGGAGGTCTCCTTTAAGTTGGGGGCACCCCCAAATCGTCCAGTAGACCATGACTTAGCATTTGAAACAGCCATGGTGACGATTGGGGATCCCCCTATGACTTAAGAAATCCCCATCTACCTAGTTTTTTTTGATCATCCATGACCCTTCAGTGGGTTCCTGGAGATGTTGATCGCGCCTGCTTCTTGAAAGCACCTGGACTGCCCACTTCAGTCACCAAACCTTCAGCGGCTCCAGGGTATGTTTGAGGAGTAGATCGAGTAAAAAAAAGGAGGTCAAATGACTGGTGACTAGTTCCCCCAGAATTGTGGCAATTATTTGACTGGATGGGAGCAATCTTGAATCCGCTTGCAACAAGCACATCCTCCACGAACCTCTGGGGTTTTATTTGGAATTACGGCTTACAAATCAAGGGGGGTGGGATCAACCTATCCCGATCAGTTGGTGGCAACATATTTAAAGTTCGGAAATCAGTCGCAGCTGTCATTCAAAACTTCACTGCCATCAACCAGTGTAGGCGCAAAAAACCATTCCCAGTCCGAGACGTCACAGCTGGTGATTTGGTGATATCTCCCTGTGCTTCCTGATAGCTCCCCTCCGCTTGTTGCGCTCTCTGGGCTTGACCGTTCAGGGACCCATTCCTGGCATCGTTTCTGTCGCTTTGCAGCATCTTTTCGCCTTTGATGCTGGGCTTCGCAGCATTCTTGTCATACTCGAATAATAATCATTGTCCCCAGCGCTTTCTGCTTCGGCCCTCAATTTGTTCAATGTGACTTTTCCGAGTTGACGGCTTGCTTCCATTCGCAGGCGAAGCTGACTGACAGCCCAAGTGCGAGCAATCACGCGCTCACTGAAAGTAAAGCCTTGATAGCCTCCTCGTAACACGTCGGTGTGAACTGTGAAACGACAGATTGATTCTCTTCTGGGTTGGGCTCGAACTGTACTTCATCATTTGCTACAAGGAGTTGAGGCTTAACGATCTCCAGAGGTGCCAAGGACATGCAATACTGTACCACCTTTTCATCAAGGTGCCCTCGAGATCCCGCTCTTTAACATCCGAGCTTGGAACGTCTGGGGTGGCCTCAACAACGACAACCTATAGATCCCGATCAAGAAGCGTTCAGCTCATGGTTCATCCCTATGAACTCCATTCATCTATTCATCTATATGGTTCTGGATCAAAACCCTGGTACCCGGATGGTACCCTGAAATAGCTGGTTAATGCTGCTTATTGGATGGTTATTCCCCCAGTCATATTACTTTCAAAGGTTTTGGCCCATCCCCATATCTGATTGTCATGGTTTCAATCCCATTCCGGATGGAATTTGAGCTTCACCGAGGCTTCGATGATGATCCAAGCAGCTGTTGAGGCCGTTGACAAAGCGCAGAGCGAAGACCGAACGCGGGGATTTGAAGAGCTTGGCAATCCCTGGAAGGGTGTCTGAATCTCTGGCTCACCATTAAACATGATGAAATATGATGAAATATGCGAAGTGGCTTGTTTATACCTGAACATTTAGGGGGAGAACCATAGGAAAATGGCTGAAGGGTGAAAATCTCTTGATCACCTGCCATTCTAGTCCCAGATGATATCACTATTTCACTATTGGTGGGAACCGGCGATTTTTGATAAACCAGGGTTTATATAGTTTCATCCGGGGTTGACATTGCATTGGATACATCAGCACCAACCCATATATTGGATACTAGCTTCTGACCGGATACTAATGGGAATGGCCCAGTCCATGGCGTACCAATTGACTCACAACATGGGTTGTGCACTGCAGATCTTGTTTTGTAGCTGTGCTGCAAGTATTTGGGTCCGAAAATCGGGGATACCCAGAATATATGGCTTGGTTCGTATCAAATCAGATTGAGGGATCTTATGAGTTTCCACTTATTTTTTTTGCGATACCAAACTGATTTACACTGGGTTCTAGCACCACGTGCCTTGCCGGAATTCCACTTGACATGGCCCAATGGAACCATAAAATCTGTCGGTTTTTTAGTATTCCACCATCCAGTGTTGGTGATTTCGCCATCAGAAATGGTGGTTGTACTATGACAGATTGTGGTTTTACTATGAAAATTGGTGGTTTATGTGGTTTTACCATGAAAAACATGGGATTCAACTAGGAAAATCACTTCGTTGAACCATTTCAATTGATGGCTTTCCCATGACAGCTGGGATCCTTCATTACTCCACAGAACCTATTGACTGTCCCCTTCGGAGGCATCGTACCGTCGCCGAATCACAGGCAAATTGAGTTAGGCCCAAGGCCTAACTAATTTTCCGTCTGTGAAATCCGAAGTTTGTTGATGTTTACATATGTCGAAGTCCCTCTTTTCTGTTCAAATCCCACTTCATAAATTGGATCTTTGTGCAGAAAAACTTTTTGTCTTTTCGAATCCCAACTTTTCTGGTTGGTGGTTGACCTACCCCTCTGAAAAATATGACTTCGTCAGTTGGGATTATGACATTCCCAATATATGGAAAGTCATTCAAAATTCCATGGTTCCAAACCACCAACCAGTCTTGTTTGGCAAAAACCCAACGAATCTGCTCGCAACGACACACCTGGAGCTTCCTCCATGATGCCTGGGAGCGACTGGAGATGGTTTGGCTTCGCCAGAATGGCTGGAGATCAGGGGTATGGAGCGAGCCCGCACAAAAGGTATCCATCATGGACGAAAAAAACTGGATCTGGATCTGGTTTAAGGGAAAATATAGAAACAAAATCATGGTTTTTACAGCAAAATCTATATGTTACATGTTTCCTGTCACTTTTGGGACTGGGGGCCAAATCCTGAATGGAGTTTACATCGATTGGCTATGGGTCAAAATTGATTAGGCTGGGACTAGCTCAATTCTAAACCCAAATCGGTGGCTCCGTTTGGGTCTTAGTCAGGTCCTAAATTTTGATCTTTTGGTCCTTTTCTAGTTGGGATCATCCGAGGTAGGCACAAGTTCTGCTCAAAGAAGCAGTCATTTGGTCAATGGCCATTTCAGGGAATATCCCCCAAAGTATGGCCAAGAAAAATGGTACAGTACCTCCAGTTTAGGGTTCTGAAATTCCCATTGATCGTGTTTTTTTGTTGTATGAACATGAACCATGAAAGAACACAGCAAGCAGTCACTGAACTGAAGATCGTCATCCAAGGGCAGTGGGCTACAGCCCTTGGCTATGCCACGATATCCTCAATTGAGTGGTGATATGGAAACTCTTTCTCCGAAAGTGATACGCATCCAGTTTTCTGGCGTTGTCATGGCCACTATACATACCATACAAAGCACTGAACTTCTGGGAAAAAGAGACTGCTAACCTCAGATACCCTGCAATCTACTCAACGGTGGGTTTCACGCAAAATGCATGGCCACACTTAGATACCCGTCAAGTAATTCAATTTTCATAGCAACAGATTACGGCATCAGCACAGCGGATATATGATAGGCTAAAGGTCACCTACTAACCAATTACCCTCCAATAAACTAACATAGCTATTGAAAATTGACCATTTACAGTTGATTCCCTATTAAGACTGATGATTTTCCAGTTCGCTTTTTCTTAGTTTACCAGGCCGGGCATTTCCCAGTAAATCCCGTGAAAGATCCCATGAATTCCCAGCTGCTGTCGTAGATGGCTTCGCCGGCCGCTTCGCGGCTTGGGAGCCTCCCCAACAGCAAGTTCCTCGGGTTCGCTTCGGAGGTTGTTCCGATGGGCCATGGTTTGGGTAGCCTCTGGTAAACATACAAAAGCTATGGAAAATCACAATCTTTCATAGGTAAATCAACTATCAATGGGCCATTTTCAATAGCAAACTCTTAAATTACCAGAGGGAAACTCCAACAAGCATCGAAAAAAAATGGCTACGGCACGGATTTTGGGTGATTGGACCAACACAAACGAGGGCAAAACCTAGCAACCATATCAGATTATCATCGCAAGTGGTGATCGCACGTGGGTGAAAACCTGCTATTTCACATCCAGTGATGCTTGGGGATATAACACCATGGCCCAAAGTGGAGTTGTGCTGAGACCGGCGGATGATTGGAGGATCAACCACGTAATCATTCACTTATCAACCTGGCATATATCTATATCTACATATATATGTATATATCTGATATATGTGATTACAAACAGTTCTCATTGCAAGCACAAAGAGAGTGGAGAGTGGAAAGCACGTAATGGGCCTGGTTTTTCAACAGTTTTTGTTTTGCCATACATTATAGTATGTCACGACATTGTCCTCAAACAATTTATGGCTTTTCAACAGGTGAGCTGGTCATCACCGGCGTTTGACAGAGCTGCTTACAGGCTCCATCATCGACACAATCTGAATCTGGGTAAATTGTGAATCATTTGGGGGGCTTCCATAAATGGGGGTGCCCCCAAATGGATGGTTTATAATTGACAATATCATCAAAATAGGTGATTTGGGGTACTTCTATTTCAGGAAACCTCCATTTCACTAACCTGAAAAGTTCGGCATTTTGCTTGGGAGAATTCTCCTAAACCTAACCATGAGTCCAGGGGGAGCAGTGAGGTCCGTCCAATTTACCCAGCACAATCGTCGTTGGGATGCAGAGAGATGAAACATATAGCACTCTCCAAAAATACGCAGGTTCTTCATATTTATTCCCACTCAAAATAATCATTTGAGGGGTATAACTGTATAACCCAAAAAGTTAGACATATCCATGGCTTGCTGCCTCTGAAATTGTGAGGGGTATCTGAGCGGAGGGTAAGCCCGCTCATCTCAGCGAAGTTGCTTTCTATACATCTTTCCTACAAGGTAAACTCACATAGATGTGGAAAACCCATGCTTTCCTTAGGACAACAATCTACAAAAAGTGGATTTTCCACATCTATGTTAGTTTACCCTAGGGTGGCGATCAAGTTCCATCCGATCTAAAAAATCCTCTGAATGGTATCACCAAAAGAGAGCAAAGGAATGTGTGTATGCAAATATATACGTATATGAAATACATACACTGTGAATAGAAGATATTTCTCCAAATGGAATAGATGGGATGGACAATTCTCCGAAATGGAATCTACAGTATCTATCATTCTGGAATTGTATGGGGTATACTGTATAGTGTACCATTCGTTTCATAGATAGTATTATGGAATTTTCAGGCCAAGTCTCCAAATACATTGGATCTCATCAACCATGCTCCGGGGAATCTGTATCTCGTCAAAACCTGGGCGCGGAGCCGCGCCTGGAGCGCCTGGATTTGGACGGAGGATGGAAATGTCATGGAGAATCCGGATGTCAACAAGGGACACCTATTTTTTTTGAATGGATTTCTGGGGATTTCTGGGGGGATTCATGGACAGCTTAAGCATCAAAAAAAAGAACATCTTCCAAACATCTGGGCTTCGATCTTCATGAAATCTGAACATCTCTAGCAAGCTGGTTGAATCATATCTCCACCGCAAGCTGGTTCCAAACATCGATATCTCCACCGTTTCTTTCCGTTTCCTTCCCTGCCCAACCAACTGACACCTATCCGCAAGCTGGGGCCCACAAGTGGATTCCGACGATCGATGTGCAGCCCAGAGACTCTGGTCTTGGACCTGCTGATATCTCGCGAACATGGCCTTGACCAAAAATATCCAAAGGCATCAAAGGCTGGAGGTGGGTGAAGCAAACCCTTGAAACACATTCAGAAGAATTTCAATTCAGTGGGCTGATCCAACATCTGGCAGGATGATCCCCGAATGTCACCTGGCCTGGGGTAATTGTCTGTGGCCGTCACGAGAATAGGGCGAATAGGGACAATCATGGAGATATAGAGATGTGCACAACCATGCTGTTTCTATTTGGAGGTGCAATTCCATGCGATGAGTGGATAGTAGTGGGTACATAGCTATAGTTACAGGTGTTATATCTGAAGTTCGGGTGTAGTAAGAATGATTACCCCCTTCCAAAGCCCAACTGCATAGTCAACGAGGAGAAGTGATCCGCAGTGCGGATCAGTCAGCTGGAACAGCAGGCACAGACGTGAACACCTGGAAGATGATTGCCAGCGCCACCTTTACGTTCGAGTTAAGCAGAGCCAGTAACGAGGCCAGACAGACGGCCGGGTTGCCTTAATTATTGGTCGCTGGCTTCAATGGAAAAAACAACAAAACTTATGCCATCTCAAACACTGTTGCTATCAGATCGCAATGAGTCAGGCATGCAACCATGTCTACCCAAGTGGCCGATTACGGAGTGACAGAATAAGGGTTCGACTGAAAATAAGGCACCTCAATATCGAAGCTTTAAAACCTCATTTTCCCCACAAAGGAAAACAATTGTGAGGTAATGATACACCTTGTTCACTGCAGAACATCAAAGATCATGGCATCAACACATCATTTTGCTGAGACCCAGTCGTGTGCAACGGTTTGACTAACACACCTTAGCTGGCAACAACTGGCATCATTTCCATTCTGTGTAGCTCACCACACCATAATAACAACATGGCCAATCTTGGATACCCTGCGATAAAAGGTTGGTTAGTAAATATTCTCATTCACAACAACCCAAAAATTAAGGACTATATAAGTACCATGCAATTGGTGGACACAGGTTACAACTATCGGGTCATTGGGTATATTTGGATTGGTTTAACCACATTGCTTGTTGATATGTCCCTAATCTACCACCCAATAAAGTATCTCCTTGAAGAATCCAACGGCTTTTAACAAAAAGAAAGGATTGACCTGGAGTAACTACTCGTCCGGTTACTCAAAAAATGCCAGCCGAGGATTTTTGCTAGGTTTACTGATTAAAGGGGGGGGTGCCAATTTTAGTGTGTCACCCTTAATATTTTGGTTTTGAATCCCCTTGGTTGATCGGAAAAAAACAAATTTTCAATCCCCCTGTTGGGTCCGTTCTATTATCCACCTGTCTATTGTTATATTGAATGAACACCACATTTTTGTTGACAATACACAACCCAACCAGTTGGCTAACACCGGAGAGGGTTGTTTTCCCCTTTGTGACAATCAGCGGTTCATCAACATTTTTCCGGGGTATACAAAATTTTCAGACACCCAAATGGGTATTGTTCTCTCCAGTGATCTCACAAAAAAAACCTTGTCATATCCCCAGCTATTATATCATATTAATTATATCCAATTATATCCATATGGTTTTGTCTTAGAAGAACTTACAAAATTATGCTAATCCTTTTTTTCCGGTTGAAAACCACTATTTGAATGAGGTATCCAGACAATTTTCACGCCTGTTTTTTTGGGGCATCAACCAGTTTCCGGTTGAAAAATCAGCCGAAACCTGGCTGGCCTCCGGATGACCCCATCGACGCGACGTCAGCGAGGCCTCATCCATTTCCACCACCTGGTCCTCATCGGGATCATCGAAGATCTCGGTGGGGTCCTGTCACCGGGAAGCGCTGGGAATTTTGATCCATTTTTTTTTCCTGGGACATTTTAAAGGAAAAACTGCAGGAAAATGCTGGGAATTTAACTGTGGGAATATTATGGGAAAATAGTCGGAACATCTAGGAAAATGTCAGTTTTGATCCATCAAGAATGGGGATCTTAAGTGATTTAGCACTATTTAACCAAGAACTTGATGGCAATTTATGGTTAATTTATGATAACAAAGTTGGCTAAACTTACTAGATGAGCGGTTGGGGTTATGGTAGATAGATCGAACTAGGCAATGGGGTTTGCAAACCAGCAAACGCAACTGCTTGGCACTACCGTGTATGGTAATTTACGTGTAACTTACGGGCCATGCCCCATCAGTCACGACCGTTTCATCATTACATGCTTTTTTTCAAAGCAGATTGTAACCAGCGACAAACAAGGATTCACGTGATAAATCATCAAAGCACCAATGAACAATGTGGAATCAATCAGAAAACCCGATTGCTTCACGAAGATTGAGGCAGACCAGGAAGCGAAGGAATCCTTCCAGCGCACTGGCACAGGTGATTTAGCGCCCATTGTGCAGACATCAAGGAAGGTCTGCTTGTCGCCTGCACTGTCGATGCGTGCTCCCGGGCCTTTTGCCGGAATGCCCTCGTGCCCTCGGCCTTCTCCAGGATCTTCACGACAGCATGCTCCCTGGTCCCCTGCGTGTTTTCTGTAGCAGCAGAGCACAGTAGTAGAATCAACCATGGGAATATCACTCACGCGACCAAGTTCTCTAGATTTTAGCAGAGTTGCTTCCGCCTCCTTCTCCTCCTTCTCCTTCGGCAGCCTTGGGCTCAGCCCTGAACTGCTAGCTGCACTGCGGGACCTCAACCGCGAGCACCAGATGTCAGTCTCTCAGTGCGCACTGCCCGACCTCAACCGTGAGCGCCAGACGTCAGTGGGCGCTGCCGGACCTCAACTGCGAGCGCCCGATCTCAGTGGGCACTGCCGGACCTCAGCCGCGAGGGCCAGAGCTCAGTGGGGTACTGCCGGACCTCAACTGCAAGAGCCAGATCTCAACGGGGACTGCGGGACCCCAATTGCGAGTGCAAGATGTCACAAAGAAAATGTGATAGAATGCCTGATAGAATGTCAGAATATATCTCATATCGAATGCCAGATAGAATGTCAGAATATATGTCAGATCGAATGCCAGATAGAATGTCAGAATATACGTCAGATAGAATGTCAGAATATATGTGAGGTAGTATGCCATGATAGACTGTCAGACTAGATATGTCATATGTCAGATAGAATTTCAATTGGTGGGCATCACTTGAAGAACGTAATTAGTATCTTGCTTGCCACTGTGGCCTTTTGACCCCTTTCAGCTATGAAACTGTCTCAAAGAAGTTCGACGCACTGGTGAGTTCTTCTATTTTCCAGAAACTGTAAATTACTTATAACGCTTTAACAAAGTCTCAAGGGTGAGCTCTTTTCCGCCAGTTTTGTCCATCACCCAATGGGCATCCCACTTTGAAAGTGGCTACCCACTATGAATCTTGAACTGATCTAGTTGGGGTTCCCACTATGCTTCTTACCCACTTCCAAAGCTGCAGGATACATCCCACTATGAACATCACCAGTTTCAATCTGTAAATCAGCACAAGTGAGGGACATCTCCAATTCCTGGTCCCATTTACAACCAGATTACCCTCTGGTAAACAAACATAGCTATTGAACATCACTATGTTTAATTGGAAAATCCACTATTTCTATGGCCATTTTCAATAGCAAACTGTTAGTTTACCAGAGGGTATTGCCTATGGCTGCCACTCAATCACTGTCACCAGGTTCCCGGAAAGATCACGCGAATGGTAACCGTTGAACCATCCAGTGACCGTGACCCAGCCTGTAACGGTTTCCGTTGAGCTTCAGGCTTAACCACCAACAACCACAGATATATATATATATATAAATAATTATATATATATATAAATAATTATATATATATAAATAATTATATATATATAAATAATTATATATATATAAATATAAATAATTATATATATATATATTATACTGGCTTAAATCATACCCAATCTCGGATATCCAGTGTTTTTAGCTAGCTAGTTCCATAGAAGCTTCAAGCTCCGCATCCATCTAGTGATCCAGTGGCAATTTCCCGGTCCTCCTCCAGCATTTCACTGGTATGAGGCTCCGAGCTTTCCTTCGGCGCCACAATATGGGGATCAACTTTGAAAATCCGGGGGCCGAAATCTGCAGGCTTCTGTTGATGTTTATTGCGTAGCCATATCGAGCTGATGGTTTCAAGTTCCACCAGGAGCCGAACTCAATTGTGGTGGATGAGCCAACCCTTCAATACATTCAATGGCTGTTTGGCAGTTCCCAGGAAGCACTTGCAGTGGGCTTGGCTGGCCAAGAAAATCAAGAAAATGAATCAAACATTCACAATTAGGAAAACTGAACTAGACAGGCACTTTGGAATGCGATCCGTGGGCTGCAAGCCAACAGCAAGGTAGAGCGAAGGAGCTGCCAAATCACAATAGTTCAGCCACTCAATGAGGTGAATTTCCTGGTTTCTTCGAATATGTTTGAAATGTATCTCTGGCCTTGCGCTTGGCCTTGCGAGTTAATAGACCCCAATTGCAGCTTTAAGTGAGAACACCAGCTTCCGGTCGTCTTATTGAGGCTTTTTGATACTTAGGAACTGGTTGGGGGCTGTAGATTAGAATCCACGTTGGGGGACTTACTCACCAGGCTTTTAACTGTGATGCGCAAATGCACATGGCATGGATTTTGTTGTCTTTCCTAGTTCTATGGATCCGAAAACGTCTCAAGTTGGGTAAAAATTACGAACCCTTTGGGGTTGCTAACTCCTCTACCTGAAGGGTCTTCACTAATTCAAATGGCCACAAATGGGGGCATCCCCTATTTTCAGACAAACCCGCCGTTCCAAGGCATGTTTTTGGATAGCTCCATTCAATGGGAGGCCTTCCTGCCGGGCAGTGCGGCACTTCGGAAGGCCTCCCACTTGTGCTTTTTAGACATATCTCACATCCCCTTTTATTGTTTAGTTAGATCTAGTTAGACATGTATCCATCCATGTATGGCCCCAAAAATGCAAAAAATCGATTGTCACCTTGCTTCACCGAGCATAGCCTTTTGGATTTTTATAATCCAATATGATGGCTGGTTTACTTGGATCTGCTTGGGGAACCACCAAAAATGAATAAATAAACAAAATAAACAATTATATATATATATAATATACCCTGAAACATACCCTATTGATTCCCTGAGTGGTGGATTTCCCATTGGGAAAATTAAAAACTCATCTTCAGTAACATCAGCACCCTGGCCCAGTCGGCTATACCCATGGCGCCCCTGCATTCCAGACATCCGAAGTGGCCAATAACTACAAGAATGTTGGTAAACAATGCCTGGATGGTGGTTTTAACCATCTTGAAAAATATGAAAGTCAATGGGAAGGATTATCCGGGTATATTCATTGCTAATCTTAGATGCCCTGCAAAAATTAAATTCTTTGCTGGTTAGTAGATATTCCCATCGATACCAAAAGACTAAAGGATTAAAGTATCCATGTAAGATTGACCTAGTTACTATGGAAAATAAAAAATGTTTGAAAGCACCAACCAGATGCCATAAACCATCCCCAATTTCACCGTAAATAGGTGGTAAGTTTACCATTCCGAAATTGGTAGCCAGGGCATTGTTTTATCCACATTAATCCAGATATATGTGGGCTATACCCTCACTTAGATTAAAGGCTTGATGCATCGGAATTATCTTAATTCTTCAGGCTGAAAAGTTCGGCAATTTTGGGAGAGTTCCCTTACAATTCCCATGATTTGTATGTAGCAACGTCGTGTAGTGGCGGGTATGATTCACCGAAATGTATATTATGTGGGTATGGGTCAAACTTAGACATTGGATGGTTAAGAATTTGGTAAACCCAATAATAAACCATCCCCATCCATCACCATTTTTGTGGGTGCTATGCTGCTATAAACTATCCCCAGTCATGGTAGGTTTCTTATTGGCTTACCCACACTAAAAATGAAGAGAATCTGCGGTGGGGCCTGGACTTTTGACCAAATCCATGGGTTGGAAACCAGATACAAGGTGGTACCCCCCAGTTATAAGTTGGTTTATAATCGCATTAACTATAGTAACTATAGTTATATCAACCATAAACTGGTGCTTTATCAACATCCTGGTCTCACATGAAACCTACAAGGTGGTGCTCCTCCCAGTTACAAATGGCTTGTAATCCCATGAAAGCTAGTTCGATATACCAACAAAAACCAGCCTGTGAAATTGGACTTACAAACGCACCACACCAACCAATCGCCATCATAAATCAGCTACCAGTAGTACCGCACAAGGCGGTGGCGGAAGTTTCAGAATAGGAAACCTATAGGAGACGTTGGTTGTTGTGAATCACGGATGGCAGAGCGAATCCACTGATTGACCGAAAGGTGGTTGGAGTTGTGTTTGCTGGAGTGGTTGCAATGGTTGCAGTGGTCACCTCACCCACAACTGCTGGATGTAGTGTGATGTACTGCAACTGTAGTTGTAGTTGTAGCGTAGTGGAGTTGTAGTTGTGGTGTAATGTAATTAGTGTAGTGTAGTTGCAGTCATATAGTTGTAGCTGTAGTTGTTTTGTAGTTGTAGTTGTAGTTGTTGTAGTCGTAGTTGTAGTTGTAGTTGTAGTTGTTGTTGTTGTAGCTGTAGTTGTTGTGTGGTTGTAGTTGTTGTGTGGTTGTAGTTGTTGTGTAGTGTAGTTGTAGTAGTAGTTGTAGTAGTAGTAGTAGTTGTTGTTGTTGTAGTTGTTGTAGTTGTAGTAGTAGTAGTAGTAGTTGTTGCTGTTGTTGTTGTTGCTGTTGTTGTTGTAGTTGTTGTAGTTGTAGTTCTAGTTGTAGTTGTTGTAGTTGTTGTGGTTGTTGTTGTTGTTGTTGTTGCTGTTGTCGTCGAAGTTAGGGTAGTTAAGTTAGTGAAGTTAGTTAAGTTAGTCAAGTTAGTTAAGTTAATCAGTGTCTACTTTTTCGACATCTTCACGTCAAAAAAGGCTCAAACCCCTCAGTTTTTTACACTTTTGACTTCGAAATGTGCTTCGCGCCACAACGGCGTGCACTTTTTCGACACTTTTTCGACATCTGAACCTCCAAAAGTGGTCCGAACATGGTGTGTTTTGTGCATTTTGACTTGGAAATGTGCTTCGCGCCACAACGGCGTGCACTTTTTCGACACTTTTTCGACATCTGAACCTCCAAAAGTGGTCCGAACATGGTGTGTTTTGTACATTTTGACTTGGAAATGTGCTTCGCGCCACAACGGCGTGCACTTTTTCGACATCGCAACTTCCAAAAGTGGTCCGACCATGGTGTGTTTTGCACATTTTGACTTCAAAATGTGCTTCGCGCCACAACGGCGTGCACTTTTTCGACATCTCAACTTCCAAAAGTGGTCCGCTCCTCTAGTGTTTTGTCCATTTTGACTTGGAAATGTGCTTCGCGCCACAACGGCGTGCACTTTTTCATGTCTCATCTGGCCAGCCGGCTCCGCACCCGCCGCTTTAGCGAGCCTACTTTTCGACCCTCCGGAGCCACAAATCATTGGAAAAACATAGTGAATCGCGACTTTCCTATCTTTTCGCGCATCTGCATCTTCTTTCTTCTGATCTTGTCTCTTCTGACTCTTCTCACCTCTGCTTTTCAACTGTCCATATTGTCGGAAGTTTCACTTCTAAACTTCCTTCGATAAATCCCATGAAAAACACACGTTTTCCTATGGTTTCCAAATGGTATCACCATGTATCACCCGCCAATCGCGAGACTTAGCTCACTGGAAAAAACCACCCACGATGCACCGATGGACGAGCGAGCCTCCATCCTCTCTGCGTTCTCCATCGCCACAAAAACGCCGGGGAACCGGTGTCGACTTTGTCGACGCGGCGGTGACGATGCGCGAAAAAGAAGGTGCGCGGCGCTTGGCTGTGTGTTTTAAGGGATTTTAAAAGTTGCTCCAAAAAAGATCGGTTTGTCATGTACCATCTGAGATACTATTGTATACTAGATTCGGATGTTACTTTTCATGGCTTTAACCCCCCATTTCATGGATTTTTTCGGTGGTAAGGGGATGGTTTAAACAATGCCAGGCTCGCATTTCCGCACCTTTTTTCAGAAAGCGGCGAGATTTGGAGATACGGAACGTTTCATGCGTTTCATCGGGGTAGCCCGTGTTATCATCCAGGAGAACCATGGATGACCATTTTAGTTTATGACTAACAGTTCGCCATGGTTTTTCGATGGCCCTAATCGAAAGTTCGATGGTTTACTTATTAATAGCATGGTGGGTCTTTCCATGGCAAACTGGCAATGTCATAACCAGAGGGTAATGTTAAAAAATGGATTTTAATGGACTATTATTATTATTATTATAAATGGATTATTATTATAATGGATTAGCTATTACTATTTGAAAACCAGAGGCTTTTACTCCTGAAGATCCCACCAGCTGGTTCATGCTGGGTTCCAGCGTTGATTTCTACTGGACATTAATATCTTTTTGCGAAATTCCTTTGGAACAAATATCTTGGAAATATTGGAAATATAGGAACACCACAGTATTTCAAATATCTTGGAAATATAGGAACAAATTGACTTTTTACCCCCAGCTTCTGAAAGAATCTTATCGCATTGAAAAATGCATTTCAGACCCGCCTTCCCGTTACCAGCAGCAAATAGGCTGCTAATAGCACCCACAGCTAATTGGGATTTATGTGCGATCTCTCATTGCGGCTTGTAAGGATTCAAAGCAAACGTGGAAATGATCACGTTGCAGCCACACGCTGAAACTAGAGGTTGATGATATAACACACACACATATGTATATATACACACCAATGTATATACACATACATACATGCCACACACAGACATAAAAAACAGTGTATATATATATATGCATACACATATTACATAATGCATGTGAATACAAACACACACACACACATTTTTTCTCTCTCTCTCTCTCTCTTTCTACAGATATAGATATAGATATAGATCAAGATATTTATATTCAATATGTACGTGTATATATATATATATATATATATATATATGCAAGTAGATTACCTTACAAGAAAATGGACCAGACAAAATCGTGGATAGTATCGATGCAAGGATGGCAGTCAGAGGTTTCCCATCATTCTCAAGGCATTTCAAGCAGTTCAATAAATCAAACTGGGATGCTACTCCGGAGTAATTAGAAAAATATCACGCCATGGCCAATCTGAGATACCATGAACTTGTTACCATCTTTTATTTGGGTAAGTATATGAAAATCTCCATTCAATGTGGCAACCTCTATAATAAACCATCCCCATTATAGCCAACGGTCAGTTGATGGGATTGTTATGTCTTGCTTTTCCAGGTTTCCCACTTTTCTATGACTTGGTGTTGCCATACCATAAACCATACTTAACCCAGTGAAACAAGCCAACTTCGCACAGGAGACCATGGCACCACCGCCACCCCTGAGCCCCAGAACTGCGTGGACTGCGTGGGATCGCGGGTGCTTCCATCCCGGCAAGAGGAGTACCTTCTTGAAGCACCGGGCAACGCAAGGCTACATGGCTATGGCTATGCCAACCGCAAGAAATGGGGAGATCCTTTGGGGGCAAAAACCCACAAACATCGGGACATGGTGAGGTGTACACCACAATGATTAGCCTATTTCAGCTGATTCATTGATAGGTAGCTTCCATTTTTTTTGATCTGGGTATGAACACTCTACATCATGAAAACAGAAACACCACCGGGCCACTCATTTACATGGTCAATCTTGGACACCATGCAACAAAAATCAACATTTTAGGCGAGCGAGGTATATCCCCATCATCAGAAAATCATCATCCCATGGTAACATGAGACTAAAACATCGAAATGAAACCACTACCATCTGGTTATTTAACATAGCCATGGAAAATCACCATTTTTAATAGGTAAACCATCTATAAATGGGCCATTTTCCATGGCTATGTTAAATAACCAGAGGGTAACCAGAGTTTTTATGATCCCCGAAACCACTCATATTTTGCAGTGAACATAAACATTCATAGGGCAACTTGGAGTTATTTGGTTTATCCTTTTGCAAATTTCTTAAAATGATTCCTTTCTGTCTACGTCATGTCCAGAGTTACTTTCCCGCAACTTGCATGGCAAAACATGCGGCGAAGCCGATACTGAGCGTCAAATCTAAAATAGTCAGACCTCTAAATTGATAGGTCTTCCCACTAAACAAGCTTGCCACAGGTCACAACGATGCATTTTGATGTGCATCCAAGGAATCATACCGTTGCCCATTTTTATATGTGATAACTGATAATCTTAGTTCAGGACTTCATTGCAAATCCCATTCCCGCTGACTTTAAATACTTTAAATACTCCCAACAAAAAAACAATGGTCTACAGGATGGGCCCCCCCAGTTATAAGTTGGTTTATAAACAATTATAACCCCAATGAACTAGTTCGTTATATCTACCATAAACCATCGTTTTTTCAGCCACAAACATAACTGGTTGGTGGTATGCCAGCCCCTCTGAAAAATATGAGTTCGTCAGTTGGGATGATGACATTCCCAACTGAATGGAAAGTCATCAAATTCCATGGTTCCAAAGCACCAAACCACCAACCATAGCTATTGAAAATTGCCCATAGAAATAGATGGTTTACCTATTATAAATGGTGATTTTCCAAATTCCATGGTTCCAGTCACCACCAATCAGATAAGGCAACTATCCTGTCTTAGGGACCCCAGATGCCGCCGCTTTTGCGGCGCTCACTTCATGCTGGATCCGTGACGTGGGAAGCCGGAGATCGAGATCTGCAGCCTTTAACAACTTCGCTGTGTTGATCCACCCGTTTTTTTGTTGGGATTTCACGGTGGATTTCACCAAGAACAGGATTTCATAGTTGATATTATTTGATTTACGATAAAAGCAAGTAGGTTCATATCAATAGGCTAACGAATTGGGTTTATGGTGATATCTTGAACTAGGCAATGGGGGTTATAAACCAACAAAGATGACTACTGGGGAACACAAGCTTGCAGTAAATCTTCACCCTCCCAACAAATTCAGAGAAAGTTAAAACTATCATTGTCTCATAGTCGGACTGATCTTCTGTCTTGTCTATCAATCTAATCGATGTTCGCCCCTCTATGGTCTATGTTTTGGCTCATTGGACTCCCATGGCTCCAATGGTAACTCACCACCTGAAAACATACGACGCAAAAAAATGCTGATCTCAAACACCTGTCAAACATCCCTATGTGCTATGGGCGCTGCGGCTACGGGCTTAAGCAAGCTTATCTGGCGATTCCGTTGTGGATTCAACCCAAAAAGAATATAGATATGAATCTATCAAGCTCACTTCTTGGTCAGTAACCTAACTTGTTGGCCCATCTTCATTGCTTAAAGACCCACCTTTGTTGCCAAATGCGGATCAAGTGAGTTATAGGGTCCCCATAGAAAATTCTGGGGGTTTCCCCATCCTTCCATCCAATGGTTTGAGCATCTCCCTACGAAAAAGTGGCCATCTGGAGGGTTTTTGTCCAACCTGCTTGTTGGTTTTAATTATCTTGAAAAATATGCTCATAAATGGGAAGGATTATCCCATACATTATGGACAATAAAATTCATGTTTGAAACCGCCAACCAGCAACTTTTGGAAGCACCCATCTGACATTTGATGCTTTCCCTACCCTGCAAACAATTAGCTGGTTAGCTTGATATCTCTCATCAAACTAGCATACGATTGAAGTAATGACTAGAGTCCCCATCCAATGTCGACCGAAATCCTGATTTCCCCACATATCCACCCCAAACCATCATCAATTCTCGATATACCCTCTGGTAAACTAACATAACTATGGAACATCATCATATTTAATGAGAAAATCCAGTATAAATGGTAATTTTCAATAGCTATGTTAAATTACCAGAGGGTAATCCCCAAGATATCCCAATTCTTACTGATCCCGGTCTATGCCCATATTCCATCTAGGAATCAAACATGGCAATCGAAAATCCAATATGTATCAACGGTCTTCCCCTTAAAACACCATTTGCAGCCGGATTGTAGCCATGATTGTCCTTGTATATCCGCATTATATTCCAATTTTACCATCATTTTGGTTTGTTAAATCTCAGTATCCTTGGATAAGTCAAGGTTACCCTCTGATAAACTAACATAGCTATGGAAAATCACCATGTCCAATAGATAAATCAATTAAAGTTATAGATGACAATTTTTCAATATCAAATTGTTAAATTACCAGATCAATGGCCATGTCAAGAACCTAAATTGGAGGTAACTACCATATATAAGGCCTATTTTTCAGGTTTAAATTTTAGGGAACATCCCCATAAAATATGGTCTTATATGGTACTAACGTACCTCCATTTTAGGATCCTGAAATTCCCATTGACCATGATAGTAAAGTTTTACCAGTCATTATTAACCACTATTAACCATTATTAACCATTAATTACCAGAGTGTATCCTCGTTTTTTTTTTTTGGTTCATTTCTTTCCACCCCGTTTGAACAACTCCCAGCGGGGCCTGGAGCGACACTGCAGCGGGGGCCATGGCCGCGTCAAGTACTTATGACTGGTGCGTAACCCGTCTATATATTCTACATCATATATATATATATACATATTACATATTATTATTATCATTATATATATATATACATATGTTGTAATGTATATGTATATATATATATACATAATTGGATTATCACATGGTATATAGATATATGTGGGTTATGACATGACTCTTAGCCCACTTGGTAAACTTGATCACTGGGATGCACATCCATGGTTCGTGGGGCATAGCCCAATTCTTGGGGTTTATCTCAAACTACCCTCTGGTTATGACTAACAGTTTGCCATGGTATAGATGGCCCATTGAAAGTTCGAT